TGATCATACTGATGATGATGATGCTGATGCTAATGCTGATAATTATAATGATTTGAACGATGATGATAATGATGATGATGATGATGCTGACAACGATGATGATTTGAATGTTGATGATTTGAATGATGATGATGATGATGATGATGAAGATAATGACGATAGTGATAATGCCGATGATGTTCAGGAAACTGGTAAGTTTAAAAGATAATTCACAGTCTTTAGCAGAAGAGCTTTCTTCAATGTTTTATTTTGCAATGAACAAAATAGCAGCAAAATAGCTGCAATTAGACAATATATTTTTGATTTTGTTTCACGAATACATACTCTAAAGGATACACCATACAACAGTGGTGTTTGTTTACTGTTTGTTGTTTTTACTGTTTATTTATGTGTTTGTTTACTTAGATACAACTCAAAAGGAAAAGCATGATCGTTTAAGAAAACAAGATGATGATGAAGAAGGATATGTTGGTAATAAGATTATGGGCATTCCTTTAGCAGGATTTGATCGCAGTTCCGTAGAGAAAAGCTATGGATAGAATAAATAAAAATACGGCATTTTTTGTCGAGGTTCAAAAGTATGTTGTAAAATGACTAGAATAAAGTTACGATCATTTTGTAGGTTAAGTGAGTTTTGTTGGGTCGCCATCAGTATATAAAACAAATAGTTATGATTAGAAAAAATAACACAGCTCAACACAGTGTTGAGTCTTCAACACTGTTTAACGTTAAACAAACGTATAATTAAAAAGAGCTATAAACTAATTGGTGTCCTCTTTTTTTGAAGAAAAAATATTGAATTGCAATGGGGGTCTAGACTTGTCTTCCTTTCTTTTTTCAGTTTTCTTTTTTTCTTATTGATCGAAGCAGCTTGAACATAAATTCTATCTGAAAAAACCTCTGGGCTGATCTAAGTCAGGGCACGGTTAACTCACAGATCAAACCCTGAAACAACCTCTGGGCTGAACTACGTCAATGCACGGCTAAGTCACAGATCGAACCCTGAAACAACCTCTGGGCTAATCTAAGTCAGGGCACGGCTAACTCACAGGTCAAACCATGAAAACACTTCTGGGCTGATCTAAGTGGTCAGGGCACCCTCATGGATCGAATTGGAATGTAATATTTAATGGCCAGCAATGAGGGGTTTAAAATTATATAATGCAGAGAGAAAACAATAAGTGGGGACATTGAGTACAGTACAGTACCCTGGAATAATTTCCAAGTCCAAGAACTTGGGAATATTTTAAAGCAAATGTACTTGAGCTTCAAGTCAAAGAAATAGTTTTAGTGTGATTACTGTTGAAACAATAAGCTTAGAAACAATTCTGTTTTTTACATTTTATTGTTTGTTTATTTTCTAATAAAAAACATACATCCAAACAGAAGCTAAATTAATTAAACAAGTATAGGGACAATGGACCTGTAAAATGGAAAAAAATAGACGTAATTAATAATTGCATAGGAAACATTACCACCCCCACCACCACCACTACCACCCTCACCCCCACCCCCACTACCACCAACACAACCACCACCACTCTCACCACCACTACCACTACCCCCACCACCACTACCATTATTACGTATTACGTAGGGGACTACTTTACGTATTACGTAGGGGACTACTTTATTAACTCTTACCTTAGCATAAGATGTGAGTATTGCAAGACTCAAATTGAGTAAATCTTCCATGACAGTNATGGAAAAAAATAGACGTAATTAATAATTGCATAGGAAACATTACCACCCCCACCACCACCACTACCACCCTCACCCCCACCCCCACTACCACCACCACCTCCACCCCCACTACCACCAACACCACCACCACCACTCTCACCACCACTACCACTACCCCCACCACCACTACCATTATTACGTATTACGTAGGGGACTACTTTATTAACTCTTACCTTAGCATAAGATGTGAGTATTGCAAGACTCAAATTGAGTAAATCTTCCATGACAGTATTTGTTGTATCCTTGGTAACCAATGCATGCACGTCGTCTTTCACGGTAGCCTACATAACAAGTAGCAGAGCATGGTCCCCAAGGTCCCCAGCTACTCCAATAAGGGGAGGGTATCGTTGTTGGATTAACTTAAAAAGGAGAGGAAAAACAAACAGTGAAAAAAAAATAAAAAAATAAAAAAGTAGATTAAAATAGATGCAGTACAAACAATAGACCATTTTAATTAGAATTCACATACTATACCGCTTTGTTCCTTTATTACAGACTCTTTTAGACAGGGTTCGCCTCATTTCAGTGTCGGATTATTTACGAATATGATGCGAGTAAAGGTAGCATGGACAATTTTAACAATACCAACACTTTGAAATATGAGGGACATTCACAGATACACATGAATATTCTACGCAAAATCGAGCCTTATGACAAACTATGTTATATATGATTATTAATATTCGAGACCTTTAGCGTAACGTTTTTGCTAGGTATCAAACCTCGAATTGCAGCTCACACGTTTTCCTGATGCTAAAGGTCTTCAATAATAAGTGGTTTAATTACTTACCACAAGGCGGTAATGGAAGGCATGGCTTCGTTTCACGGTATGAACCAATGCATGGCCCTGCTCCACAAAACGGAGCGGGATTTGTACAAGATCTTGTCCTTTTTCTTATTCCATTGTCACCGTTTGATGAGCAACAGGTCTTGCTGCACGAGCTCCAGGCTGACCATTGACTCCAGTCACCCGCTTCTAGAAATTAAAAAAAAWATATATATACTGCATCATTTTCCTGCTGGCGTATCCCTAACCTAAGCTTCTATGCGTATAGTAGACGAAGAGAAAATGAACTAAGAATTTGAGTCTCTGGTATTTATGCTTTTAACCATTACAGGCACTGCTAGATGCTATCTTTTGAAGCTTGTTTGTTTTTCTGTACGGGTCATCGTCACTCAAGAAACAGCGAAAACCACCGGCTTATGGAATGAGTCCATGCACATAGTACAAACCATGAGATCGTAGTTTGCCATCCTTACTGAACGCAGTACATTCAGACTCACTCCGTGCTAAAGTGTTTATTCAGATTGAACACATTCTTAATATGTAAATTCTAGCTTATAACGTAAGTGTTTAAAAAAGTATATTCGGTTTGAGTGCGTGCAGACATTGTGGTGCTACGATAAACGAAACCCAATTAAATGTCATGAAGGAATGTACATGCATGTCTTCTAGAAAAAAATTACCTGGACAACATCCCAGGTTGCATTCCTTAGTTTCTGATGATGGTCCAACGCAGTCTGGTCCTCCATTCTGTGGAGGCGGGTTGGTACACGTGCGCGTTCTAGTTTGCTTTCCTATGACGCCGCACGTGAAAGGACAGACACTCCACTTGGACCATTCGCTAAATCCTCCAGCGACTGATTTAAAACAAGAAAAAGCAATTAAGAAATTTACCGCCATTTACTCAATGGTGACCATCACTTAGCGAGTTGAATATTCACTTTATAATATCTAAACCTTAAAATTTTGTTCAAAAGGTATTTTTTAAATCTTATCATTTGTGGTGAATTTCTCACTTGAAAGTGCGCATGCTATAGCTGTGTTAAACAGAAAAGCGCGCTCGTGCTTAGTGCAGTTATATATCACTCGCGGTTTTTTTTAGAGTGTTTTGCCAATCCTCAAGTTCTTCTTTTTTAACTGCTTATGACAACGGAAGCAAGCTTCAATATTTATATTTATCATATGACCGTGAATCTTAGAGCCTGGACACTAGCAAATCGAGCAATCTGATTGGATAGATCGCATCGCGGACTGGTCTAGATTCTCCGGTATTAATCGGTCCGATCGCATATTAATCTTACGGCGAAAACATTTTGTCCTTTTCAATGAAAAGTGGTCATATGATAAAACTCTTATCAACCGATCTTGGTCGTTCTGTAAGGGATAATCTTGACCTTGGTCGGGTACAGACCTCGGTCAAGATTATCCCGTACAGACCTCCCGCTCGGTTAATAAGATCTAAATATCAAAGCAATAAAAATTTCGCAAGCGATCTGTGCGCTTTTTAACCAATCAGGAAGCAAGATTTATATTAACTGTTAAGTTATTTTACAATAGAGGTTTTACACCATCACGTGACGGCAGCCATATTACATGACAGGAACAATACAAACGTTTTACATGATAAAGAATTCAATTTCCGAAAGCGCAGGGATTTTATTGTTCTACCATCTATCCACAGGCAGTCCAAGCTGGATTATGGCGCTGGCACATGATGATCTAAAACAACTATTGCTTTTTTGGTTCTATTACCTTGACAAGATATATTATTGTTGCAGTATCGATACTGGATCTGTGGTCTGTTGCAATTAACTTTAGGATCTGACGAAAATGAACAGGTTCTGTTTCTCTTCTGATAGCCGATGTGGCATGTCTTTGAGCACGAATTCCACGAGCTCCACTGGTTCCAAATGATTTTGGGGAGCGGAGCTGTGGTGGGCTTGGTTAGTTTGGATATGATTGATGGAGCTTTTGTTGGGATATCCAAGGGATACGCTAAAAAAATAAAATTGTTATTGAAAATCTTGTCACCTTTGTTTTCTGTAATAATCCTTTAGCTTTAGCGCAATAGTTTTGATTTTGAATAAATTTTAAAAGCTATTACCTTGGCAACAGGATACCTCGCAGCGCTGTGCATACACTATGTAAGGGTTGTTTATCGTGTTGCTGAAGCACTTCCCTTGTTTGAAGATAGATGGACAGTCGTACTCAGGCGTATCAATGTATCGATCTAAGAAGAATAACATTCAAGTTTATTTTGACAATATTGTCCATTGCTAAGTTGGTGATTTTTTGTTGCGACATCATAAAGAGTAACCTATCACCTCAGGGAAAAAATAACTAACTCTTATACACGAATTGGTACATGGATTTCAAGGACGGATCCAGCCAAATATTTGGGGGGGGGGGGGGC